CCCGCTGGATATGTCCTTCTTTTACTTCTACATTTACAATATTGAATGATGCACAATATAGTAAAACTCTTCTTTTAATACGTATTTAATAACAGGCAAGCATCTTTCTATTGAATAAACATATATTAATTTTTGAATGGATCTTGTTGTGCTTGATTGCATGTACTTATTCTGGTGAGATAAAAACTTATCATTCATGCAAATTATAATTCCTAATAAAACAATATACTTAATGTCAAATATTTTCTGAATGAGTATATTAGGTATATTAGAAACTGATAATATGATATATATTTATATTAATAAATTTAGATTTTTTTAATAAAAAAGAATCTGCTATCAGATTTCTGATTTTGTCCTAACTTCAATTTTAGCAATTAGTCGCAAAATTAAAAAAATTGAATTGATATCACATTTTTAATAATAATTATCAATTACGTTTCTATTGTAGTTCATTCTCTAAAATTAAACTTCCTTTACATTTAAATAATGATAACAAATCATACCCTTTATAATCGAAGAATTCGCCTTTCATTATTAGGGTTCCTTCAGCTTCTAAATTTGGATTTTAGGAAATCTTTAGTATCGTTATATAAGAGGTAGCTAAATAATAATAATTAATAATACTGCTATCTGAATGAATAGTATTTGAAAGGATGGCCAAACTTTCTTTGTAAAAACTATTATTTGGAGGTAAAATTTGTTGTTCTGTTTAAGCCTCCCATAAACGAATAGAGTTATCTCCACTACCAGATGCTAATGTATTACCATCAGGAGAGAAACAAACTGACCTAACAAAATTTGAATGGCCATCTAATTTTGCTTTTTATTATCCTGTCTTAATATCCCATAAACGTATAGAGTTATCTGAACTACCAGATGCTAATGTTGCACCATCAGGAGAGAAACAAATTGAATGAACACGCTCTTCATGACCATCCAATTTTGCTTTTTATTATCCTGTTTTTATATCCCATAAATTGATAGAGTTGTCTGCACCACCAGATGCTAATGTATTACCATCAGGAGAGTAACAAATTGAATTAACATATGATGAATGACCATCTAATTTGGCTTTTTATTATCCTGTCTTAACATCCCATAAACATATAGAGTTATCATCACTACCAGATGCTAATGTAGTACCATCAGGAGAGTAACAAATTGAATTAACATATTATGAATGACCATCTAATTTGGCTTTTTATTTTCCTGTCTTAACATCCCATAAACGAATAGACTTATCTCCACTACCAGATGCTAATGTACTGCCATCAGGAGAGAAATTTACTTAATTAACATAACCTTAATGACCAACTAATTTTGCTTTTTATTATCCTGTCTTAACATCCCATAAATGGATAGAGTTATTTTCATTACCAGCTGCTAATATAGTGCCATCAGGAGAGAAATTGACTGATAGAATTGCTTTTGAATGACCATTTATTTTAGCTTTTTCTTTTCCTGTCTTAATATCCCATAAACGAATATACTTATCTGCACTACCAGATACTAATGTAGTACCATCAGGAGAGAAACAAACTGAAATGACAGTTTCATCATGTCCTTCTAATTCTAATTTTTATTATACTACCATAACATCCCATAAACGGATAGAGTTATCTTCACTACCAGATGCTAATATAGCACCATCAGGAGAAAAACATACCGTATTAACATTATTTGAATGACCATTTAATTTGGCTCTTTATTATCCTGTCTTAACATTCCATAAACGGATTGAGTAATCTTCGTAACCAGATGCTAGTGTATTACTATCAAGAGAGAAACATACTGAAAACACATAACCTGCCTGACAATCTAATTTGGCTTTTTATTGACTTTTCTTAACATTCCATAAACGGATAGAGCTATCGTTACTACCAGATGCTAATATTAAGCTATCTGGAGAGAAGCAGACTGAATTTACCCAACTTGTATGGCCATCTAATTTAGCTTTTTATACTCCTGTCTTAACATCCCATAAACTGATCGACTTATCATAACTCCCTGATGCTAATGTGGTACCATCAGGAGAAAAACACACTGATTAAACCCATTTTAAATGACCTACTAATTTGGCTTTTTATTATCCTGTTTTAATATTCCATAAACTGATGGAGCAATCTTTACTACTAGATGCTAATGTAGTACCATCAGTAGAGAAACAAACTGAAATTACATCAGCGTGATGACCACTTAATACACATATTTATTTCCCAGTTTTAGGATTCCATAAATAGACAATTTTTTCGCTGCTGAAAGCTAATATATTATTATTAGGTGAAAAGCTTAATGAATTTATCTTACCCTTTTCTCTGATTATAGGTTTTATTTTTCCTGTTTTTACATCCCAAAAAAGAATGGATTTATCATCACTACAAGAGGCTAATGACTTACCATCTGGAGAAAAGCAGACAAAATTGACACTATTACGATGACCATTAAACTTATTTAACTCATTTATTCTTAAATTTCTCCACTTACAATTTAATAATTTGGCTTAATTCAAATTTATACCACTAATATTGATATTGTCAAATTCAGATCCACTTAAGTCGCATCTTAATAAATTTGCTCCTGCTAAGGAAGTATTTCTAATCCTAATATTCTGAAAACATAATTCCTTTAAATCAAGTTTCATTTAAACTAGTAAATGAAGAGAGTTTGATCCACACTATATGAATCTCTCATCTAAGCCAGTAAGATGAACTAAAAATTTTAGAAATTCTATAATCTTCTTATCATATGATATCTTTATTATCAGATCTTTTTTAATTTCTTCATATTCAACTCTAGAGTAATTCTGTTTATTATAATCATGATCCTTTAATTTGTTGAGAATATCCATAATCCTATTAATAATATTTTTTTCAACATTGAGCATCTAATCCTTATACAATATTGATGGATTTTCCTCCTATAATATGTCCTGTTTGTTTTGTTGTAAATTTTGAATATATGAGAGAAATTTTAGACAGTCTTCAATCTTTTCTGCTTTTAACATTTCAAATATTACACTGAAGATTTATTCATCTAATAATTTTAATGAAGCAAAGACCTCATACAAATCGTTTTCTGATTTATAAATTTCTAATTATTGTATTTTTTGCCCTATTCCACAGTTTCCCATAAAAAAATTTAAATTAATATGAATTTCTATTATTATTTTTTTTTGAGTTTCTTCCATAAATCAAAATAGTATTTTGATATTTTGTTAGGGAGAAAAGAAAACATTGTTATGAATGTGCGTTGATTTACTTTATAATTTTAACTATGTATAAACTTTTGCATAGATTGTTTATTTATGAAGACAAATAAACACATAAAAAAGTTCTTAGAAACATCTATACTAAGTAAAGGGTTGGCTTTTACTATCTTAGCGTAGTCATCTATATGGTGATAATAATATTGTCGGGACTGTTAAAAAAATGCAAATCCCTCAGAATATGAAATTTAATAATATATTGAAAACATTTTTTAATGTATCAAATCCTAATCGTTAATAAGAAACAATAAAACCTAAAATTTTGCTATTATTTTTCCAAATTATGAGATATATTCTAATTACAACAAAAAATAATATTAATTTTTTTCTTCTTATCCATTATTGAACAGCACCTATCATGAAACGAATTTGTGTTTTACATACTTAGATAGAAAATAAACCAGGACTGAGGAATGAGTTTAAACATAATAATAGAGAACCTTTCATTATAGATGGTTTGGTAACTATCAATCTAATTAGGTTTTATGAAGGGTAATTAGCATAGAAAGTGAATTTAATCCTTGAAAAGTCAGTTTAGAATCAATATCTCTACAAGAATTATTATGATCAAGAAAAATCTTTTGGAAAAGACCATAGTCTAAATTTATTTAGGAATGTATAATATGGATTTAGAACATTAATATTATATTAATAGATAGAGATCGGTCGGTGGGGGAGTGATGGTGATAAAGTTGATACACTAATTTATGTTTTGGAATAGTTTCTCTAAGTAACCATATGTATGGAAGTTCAGGAAAAATGAAGTTGAGAAGCTTTTTAGGTTTTTATGTCACTGTTTTTTATCTGAGCTCTTTTGATAATTAATTGAAAATCAAATTTGACATAATTATTAAATAATTTAAAATACATTATGAAATATTAGACAAATATATTTTGAATTGTGAATAATTCCTAAATGGAATTTCTGTCAAGATTATGATAGAACAAATGAAATTCCAAACTGATGATTAATCTTGTTTAGCAAATTAGAAGTTTGATTACTTAATAAAATTTATTCCTAGATTTGATATTTGATTATAGTAAAAGTATCAAAAAGAACATCTGAATGTCTAAATATGCTAAGTTTGATTAAGCATATTTTTCAATATTCATACTTTAACAATGATTTAAAAGATCATTAGTTGAGAAAGAATTAAAATTAATTAATTGGTTAAATTGAACAATACTTTTCTGATACAATTGTGTCATTTTGATAGACTCCATATTTTTAATTACAGAAAAGCTTAAAAAGCTATCTTTATATGATTTTTGGTCAATCATTGTTTATGTATTAATTAGGATTGATAAATATCATTTTTATTTTACTAGTAATAATATATTATAAATTGATTTATTTAGATTTTAAAATAATTTTAATTAAAAAATCTATAGAAATGCAAGATTAAATAAATCTAGAATGCAAAAATAAGGTTTAGCACATCAGTTATACTTAGTAATAAGAAATAGAGGTAAATAATAAAATGATTAATTTAAATAGGAGTCATTCAACAGAATTGATGCAAAATTTGATCAACTTTTTAATGATAAATGTAATTTCAGTCAATATTATAATATACTTCAATTATCATTTACAAAACCAAAATCAATTAAGAAGTGACATCCTTTATTAAAAACACAATTCAAAACCAATTTTAGTACTAAGAAACTGAATAACTTAAAATAAATTGAATATTCAACAATCATAAATAATTAATCTTAAAGCATTCACTTATTAATTGATCGAACAAAACTCAATTAAATAAGTTGAAAATTGTTATGCAATAGCTGTTGATAAAGATTGTTCAATATTGGTTGCTGGATTTGATATTTAAATTAAAGTGTTTGAATTTGAATAAGAAATCTTGAAATAGCTTTAAATTTTAAGTGATCATAAAAATTATGTTTTTACTTTGAATTTCATAATGAATTCGGATCAGTTTATCTCTGACAGTGGTGATTAATCAATAATTATTTGGACAAGAAATCAAAATAATTCATGGATTTCTTAATACAAATTATAATGAATATTATCATATCTGGTAGTGAAGATAACACAATTAAATTCTGGTAGAAGTAGAATCAATGGTTGTGTACATAGACAATCACAGATCATAATGATTATGTCTATGGATTAAGTATGAATGAATCCTAAAATAAAGTGATATAAAGTGGAGAAGATAAACTTATACTGGTAATAGAATTATCAGAATAGAATGAATAATGGACTGTGATATAAAAGATTACAGTAGAAACAGATGGAGTTAGATTATGCTTTATTGATAATGATACATTCACATTTTAACCTTGGCAGAAGGAGTACATGCAGGTTTTGAGATAGTACCAATAAATTATATATCAAGAGAAAGGGTCTTCCTCTAGAAGGTGGTTTAGATAATTTTTTATTTCCTTATTAATATATTTAATCAAAATGCATCTTTGTGAATGAGAATGCTGAAAATGTGAATTTAATAAGGAAAATATAAAATTAATCTATTCAGTTTGGAACTTTAAGGATTTTTGGATATATGTCTGATGATGGAAAGTATTTGATAACTTGGGATAATAACAAAAAACAATATCAAATCAGGAAATATTAGGAATTATGAGTTATTGATTAGTGTAATGAGGGAATAAATTAAGCTAGGATATTTAAATATTCTTGAGATTCGACATTAATAATAAGGATTCCTAAATATATTTATGTAGATTTTTATTTCCTCACATAGTTAATTTAATATCTTTAGCGATTGATTTATACAATATCTCAGTTTTAGTTGAATTGAAATTTTGTAATATTGTATTTATAAGGACTTAAGGAAAATGTAAATTTTGATTTAAATTTAGTAATTATTTAAAATCTAAAAACTAGTAATAAAATCTTTAGTATTAAGAAACTTAAAGGCGGCTTCTGTTGTGTATATGACCATTCTAAATCGTTAAATGTACATATTTTTGATTTTAATTCATATCTCTTAACCTTAATTTGGAATAATATCACATTAGATCAGTAGGGTAGTTTTTGATGATTTTGGGAAAAAGATTGGAATCCAAATTTGTTAAAAAGGGATAAAAAATTGAATAGAATTTATTTTAAACACAATATTCATTTCTAAAGTTCCATCTAAGTTTGAGCACTTCTCCCAAAACTAATTCGTATATGTATATATATGGCATTAAAAAAAGGTGTTAAAGTTGTAATTATCATAATTATTAATATTTAGCTAATGTGAGAATGAGAATTTATTTCCAGTTATCTGATTTCTTTTGATTATATATAACAAGTTCATCTACACATTATTAAGCATGAAGAATAGATCAAGCTATCAGATAATATTCCTCAATCTACTGCTTGTTATAATACAAAAAAAAAAATAGCAGCAAGTGTAATAACAAGGTAGATGAGCTGTTCCAAATTAGTGGAAAGCACAATTTCAACTCATCTATTAGTGTTGGTTTACAAAATAGAAAATGGCATTCCATAAAAAATTATGTAACAAGAAAAATATCACCTTAATGTTTTTCAAAGGATGATAAAGCCAAGTTAGAAGTGGTTGAAGTATCATCATTTGCACTATGATGTAGGAGTCAAACAAGGAGAGCACTCACATGCATTTTAGGAAGTTTACCCAGACAATTAGATCATGATTGATTTACATTCAGTGGCATCAGCTTTACTGTTTGTCCTATATTGCTTATCATGGGTGTTATAGATTTTTTTGCAAAAATTGTTTTAAAGGTAAAATATATTGGATAATAGTAGCTGGATAAAAGTCAAAATATTGAACAAATGTTATAAGTTGAAAAACTCTACTTATGTTTAACAACTACTACTCTATGCATAATATAGCTGAATTAAAGTATGGCAGTGAAAAATTGTGATACTTTTATGAATTATCCATTTTATTTAAAAAGACATACTGATATAAGTGTGGCATATTCTAATACTTTTTCAATTACTAAGTTAAAGCTACTTTAACAGCAATATGCATCAATAAAAAGTTAATAACAAGAGGTTTTCTATAAATATCATCTTTTGAAAGTTGGCATTATTTGACTAAAGTAATGTAAGTATCATTTGATGATCGATATGTATTAAATTATGCAAATATTATTCTTATAATCATTAAAAATAGCCATCATTTGATTATACATACTTAGATTATTAAAGTTTTAAGTTGAGCAGAAGGTGTTGTGTAATTTCAAGAAACATGCTTCTTGAAAAGGATGATAACAGGACCTGAAAAATTACAGAATAAAGTGTATCTGAAATAATGTTGAGAATTAATTTGGCATCAATTGCAGCATCCTAAAAGGGCGAATGGAAGAACATACTCCATTCTTTATGAACATTTTTTAAATTTTAAAAATATCAGATGTAATTTATTTGTTACAAGTATTGGTGGAGCAAAAATTTACAAGTAATAACCTCAACATTAATATTTTTAAGATAGTTACAGAAAAACATGATTAACATTTATTATAAGGACATAATCTAATAAAGTTTCAGTCTCAATTGAATTCAGTGAACAAACTAAATATATTCATAATCTAAGACAGCATAACAGTAAATAGACGACTGCAATCATAAAAGTGATTATAGAAATATCTACTTGTATGTGATTAAATGATGACTATAAATAAACGCAATGTTAAAATTACTTACATAATATTTCTGGCCGAATTTAGAATGTAGAGAAATAAAGTGTTTGATATTTTATGATTAATCAAATTAATAGGAATCTCGAATGCAATTCAAGGAAATAGTGCTGTTGGAATATATAAATTATTAGCTCAAAACAAATGATTGGTTATTCAAAACATTTTAAGTATTTCTAGTAATACAGGAAATTGGAGAGAGCTCCTATAGTTTACTTCAGCGTTAGAGTTTCTTCATATAATGTCCGTGGTATCCATCTGAGATGTACATCATTTAGCTAAATCTTTATATGATAAGCAAGAACTATGCTGGTACTTTGGGTAACTTTCAATTGCGCAACATTTTATGAGTGAATGAATCATGAAGGAAATCGTAAATATGAGCCTGAAATATGTGCTGATGCTAATTTGATGTCAGAAAGAACATTTGCTATGATTGTAAATTTTGAAGGATCTTATATTATATATATGCGATTATCAGCTAATGTTACAATGATTGGACAACCCAATCTCTAAAGTGCAAGTTTTTTGTTTGAAAGTATACTGACAGCAACAAGTCTAGAAGAAGTAATACAAGTTAGTAAGTAATTCATGTTTGTTGATGGCTTAAAAAGCTGTGCTTTGAAAAATACGAACCACTTGTGGTAAATGCAATCCAATTCTAAGTGAATCTATATAAACATTAATTAATTTTATAAGGGAATTTGGAAACCATTTCAGGTCTAACAAGAAAACAGCCTATAGTGCTTTTAACACAATTTGAAATGGCACTTTTTATTATCTATCTATACTAATATGTTATTTTGTTCACATCATAATAACAAAGTAGCATTATTAATGTCTTTCAAAATACCAGGACAGTCGTTAAATGCTTTTTATGGCAAATGAATCTGAGCTAACATTAATTATAGATGATGAATTTTCATCCCATGAAATTACATGTATTGCATGTTTATTCCTTGTTCAAAGCATATCGGTTCCACTACTGGTAAATTCTGGCTATCAAGATGTTTATAAGATGCGTCCTCACAGCAGCAAGGCATATATTCTGTCTCATGCTTATTCCTTATGCAAAATGAAATAATGATATTTAACCAGTCTTGGTGAATTCCTGGTTTACAAAAACAAAAAGCAAGATTATTTTTGTAGCACTCCAAAATTTGCATACAGCTTACGAAAGTGGAAATGATAATCCTTCTTATTTTTTGGTATTTAAGCTTGATAGCTATAATATTTTGTACTTGATGCTATTGCTCATTACTTGCACTCACAAAAGCATCTGCAATGTAAATAAAATTACTTTTATTTTACAAAGTGAAGCGGATGTTTTACAAACTAATATATATACAAAAAATTGAGTCACAACAAACATTGTCCTTCTTGGGTGACTAGAATCACAAATCAAACTTCACATTTGCAACTTCTAATACAAGTGATAATTTTATAACTTTAGTTTTAACCGAAGTTTGGCAGATGGATTAATACTCACATAAATTCCCCTGAGTTCATTTACTTTTAAAGCTTATTACCATAGATCATTCATTATGGGAAGTATAAACAAGGTCTTAAAAGGAATGTTGATAATTATTAGAGGGATAGAATGAAATTCTTTATGTATTATTGTAATGGATAAAGCAAATATCGTTGGTATAAATTGTAAATATGATTGGTTGGATTTATATAAATACTTCTCCATCTTCTTAAGAAACTAAACAATTAGACTTTTCTGTAATCACTTAAAGATGAGTATACATAAATTATGGGAAAGTTGTTTCAACAATTCTGCTTTTGTTATGAAATCTTGTTCCCAGAGGCTAATATTCACAACAATTCCAAAGTCCGAGTTTAAGCGAAAATTATTGCATTTCTCCAATTATCATCTATGGAGAAAGCAATGGTTTAATTTGATAGTTTTTCTAAGCACTAGTTGATATATTCATTTAATTTTCTTCATTTCATAATTATTTAATAATTGTTTAACATAAATCATTAAAGATCTTACTAAAGTATTATATGTTACTTGGATAAAAAATGAGATCTACATTTTCATCCTTTCTAATAAAAATCAACCCTTCAATGTTTGAATCAAAAGCAATTAGGATTATTCTTGAGAAGCCTCAACAAAACATCAGAAGAGATATCATTAAAGCCTAGTTATGAATTTTGATATACTAAAAGCATATTTAGTTGTTAAGATATAAACTACTGTGCTTTATTAAACTAAATAATAAACATTTTCTAAAGAGTTTTATTTGAGTATTGTGAGAAACATAATTAGATCAATAGATTAAAGGGTAAAAAAGAAAACTAAATAGTTTATGAATATTAGTTTTAGGTTTATTTCTGATTTATTCAATCTGACTTTTCACTTTAGTTTATGATATTTTTTCTTTAAAGCATTATTTAAACATTGGGGCATTTCAAAGAATATTTTATTTATATGTAATTAAATGTAATTCATAGTTAATGAATTTAATCCTCAAAAATATCACTCATGTTGTAAAAAAAATTTAAAATCATGAAGGTGAATTGAGCTGATGTTCTTGTTTCCTAATTAAAAATGGAAATGGTTGTAATATAATATAAATGGGTAAAAACATAATGATAAATGAATACTGAAAATTTTGAATTACAAATACTCATAATTAATTTTTTGAGAATGAGAGAAAATATGAAACATTAATTATTGCTTTATTAATCATCTTCACTATTAAATTAATTCTTCCTCCTCAACTTCAATCTTGGTAAGGCTATGTAGTAGTAGTCATGTAGTAATAAAAGATTCATAAGTCTTAAAACTTAACAGCGTTAAAAAGAACGATTAATCAAATACGCCGACTCCATAGATGAGATATTGTACTTTTCTTTTTCTTAATCTACTTATTAATCTCAACTAGACTTTCCAATACTATTTACTGCTATATCTACCATAACTATATCTTAACTTCATAAGATAATACATATTTATAATTACTAATCTAGGTATTTCTTTCATTGTTATGACCTTTCCTCATTTTGTATTCTAATGTTTCTTCAGAGGGATTGGAATTCTCAATTACGTTGCCACATACAATAAAATTCAAAATGTTTGCTTTGAACTTTCTCTTTTGCATAACAAGAAATCAGATTTTTCTTTTGCTTTTAGGATGGCTTTGTTCTATTATGGTTCAAGCTGCAGTTTTTAAAAGTAATTCTTAATAATTACTAATTTTGAAATACAATAGTCGTTATTTATTAATTAATTTATTTATCATAAGTTGAATAATATTTAAATTTAGATGATAAGAAGTGATTATGTATCATAATAATTAAACCCCTATATTGAATATATGTGTTAAAGTTATGCATTTTAGAGCAAGCAATTGAAACTTAAAATTGGTAAAATTGAATTTCATAAAGGATATTAAAACTAAATGTGCTTTAGGAGTCACGATTCTTTAGAGCTGGAGATTATCTTGAA